CTTTTATATGGATAATGCACATCCATTGCCATCACCTATAGTTGTTCGATCACTTGATGTGAAAAAAGATCAATTTCGTTCACTTGAAGATGGAGAAAAGATTCTTGGTCCTGAAGTACCATACCTTAGTGCAATTGGAGCATTAACTTATCTTGCAAATTGCACTCGACCTGACATAGCTTTTTCTGTAAATCTCCTTGCAAGATATAGCTCTACACCAACTCAAAGGCATTCGAATGGTGTTAAACATATTTTTCGTTACCTAAAAGGTACTATTGATATGGGACTGTTTTATTCTCAAAAGTCGGAATCTGTTTTAGTGAGATATGCAGATGCAGGTTATTTCTCCGATCCACATAAAGCTAAATCACAAACAGGATATGTGTTTACACGTGGAGGAACAGCTATATCATGGAGATCTGTGAAGCAATCCTTGACAGCAACATCCTCCAATCATTATGAGATTATTGCAATCCATGAAGTAGGGCGAGAATGTGTATGGTTGAAGAATATGACCCATCATATCCAATCATCACGTGGATTGACTTCAACAAAAGATAATCCAACAATTTTGTTTGAAAATAATGTAGCTTGTATTGCACAACTCAAGAGAGGCTATATCAAAGGTGACAGGACGAAGTATATTTCTCCAAAATTCTTTCATACACATGAACTTCAAAAAAATAGTGACATTGATATTCAACAAATTCGCTCAAGTGACAATGTGGCTGATCTATTCACAAAAGCGCTGCCAACATCTACATTCAAGAAATTAGTTCATGAGATTGTAATGCGTCGACTCAAAGATTTTCAGTGATCAATATCAGGGGGGAGTAGTTGTACTCTTTTTCCTTCGCTTAGGTTTTGTCCCATTGGATTTTCCTAGTAAGGTTTTAATGAGGCAACATTTAAATTTAATACTCCAAAATAACTGTACTCTTTTTCCTTCGTTTGATTTTTTTTCTCATTGAATTTTTATCAAACAAGATTTTAACGAGGCAGATATATTGTAATATGTCATTCAAGGGGGAGTGTTGTAAATGAAAAGTCCATTAAAGTTTATTGGTGAATGACATTTGTACCCCTGTAACCCTAGAAATTATTACCATTGTATCCCCTGATTCTTATCTATAAATATAGGGTTTTGGTTTTCAATAATACACACAAAAAAATTTATTGAGTTTTCTCTATTCTCTTTGAGTTTTCCCTATTCTCTTTCCCTCTCATTTTATAACATAATATAGTTTTTACCTACTATGAACTTAATTATTTACCAATTAATTAATGTGTTATATTAGTTGTGCTTAGCATACTTAGTGTTGAGCTGGTGACTCAAATTAGGTTAGGAATCTTCAATATTGCGTAGGAGATTATGAAGACTGCGTATTCGACTTGATTTAGAAAGAAGTCAAATTCCATCCAAGATTTTTTCCTTTTACGCGTTTTAACCTAATTCCACTATATTTTCTTACCTTTTAGGACTCTATTAGGTTTATGGACATGGCTTATAAATTAAAGGCTCATCTGTCAGTTTTATAGAAATTTTTTTGCTGTTCAGTTGTAATATCTCCATATTGTCGGGTTTAATAAATTTCATCGTTCCTCTACTTAATTTTTCTTTTTCGACTTTACTTTAATCTTGTTTTCGTGGTGCGATTTTGAATATTTCTTAATTATTATTAATCTCAATCTTACATCGTCTTTGGGATCAACACTTAAGAAGATCATGCGCGCGCACGCACACACACACACACACACATATAGACAGTTGATTGGAAAATGTGTTGTTAACATCAATGTACCGAAATCTTTCGATTCGCATGAATGTATAAATCAATGTATCAACATTTATGTACATGTAGATGTCAATAGCTGATGAGTGTATGTGTGTGTAACTAAAGTATGCAAGTATAATTTGAAAATAAAAGATGTCAAGCATTAAAACTTGCAATTTATTAAATGTGATCATTATAAAATACAAATAGATAGTGAGTTTAATCTTCCAATGGAGAGAGTCAAATTTACTCTTATTTTAAAAAGTTAAATTGAACACTTTGTTAAATTCTATTAACTTTTTAGAATTTAGAGTTCTTTTTTTTTTTTGGAAGATTCTCTTATAAAATGATGAAGCTAAGCAATATAACTTTTATTTAATTAGCTTATTTAGTTTTGTTTTGATAAATTATGGTATTTTATTTTATTTTTTAGTTTAGGGGTTATTTTGAAAATTCAATAAAAATAGATTTTCGGCTGTAGGATATTTTCATATATGATGTCTCATTGTTAAGGCTTAGCTTTTGAATTTTGCAAGTTTCTCAATATCATGGATTTTTTGGTTAGATTCCTTCAATTAATGAATTAATGACTCTAAATTTACAGTATAAGCATAATTAATGAATATTTAGACGTGTTTTATAAGCAAACAAACTGGTTTCTGGAACTCTGTATTTGGTCTAATTATATTGCAATTCGTGCATTTGTGGAATTTATTTTTGAAAATTATGATATAATTTTTGTGAAAATGACAATCTGTCATCATCCTGTGACAAAACCCTCAAATCTACATATAGATTATCTGTCCATGCATGCACATACCCCCTTGATGCAATTTGAAAGTGACGCCGCAGCAAATCTTATGGTCGCATGCTTAAGTAGCCTGTCAATCTTGAAATACGTAAAGTTGAACCTTTAATATGTATATGAACACAGACGTGAAAGTTCTTGAAATTTGTCATCTTCCCTGTATATGTCACAATTAATATCGGCGCAAATTTTACTTTAAGCAAACCAAAACATTTCACCAAGATTGAGGCCTTTGTGTGTCGACTATAAGAGGTTCAGTTCATAAGAGACTGAGCTCATTAGACATAGTCTTCTAAACTTTCAAGATCAACCCAACTAGACATAGTCTTAAACTTCCAAAATTGACCCCACTTCACATTCCGTACAAAAATACCTAAATACAAATAGCTAGTACTCCTATCTCCACACATCGAACCGAAGTCATGATCATCCTGATAATTGAATTGGTTTGATAACATGCCGTGTAAGATTAATTAAACAATTAGCATCCTTGATAGGATGGCCTAACCTTGGGGACTAATTGATAGACAATAATTATTTTGGCACACTGTCCCAACGATTAATAGAGGACGAGAAAAAATATTGGAGTTACCCAAACTTCCACGTCATGTCACATTCTCCAACTAGACATAGTTTTCTAAATTTTCAAGATCAACCCAACTAGACATAGTCTTAAACTTCCATGATTGACCCCACTTCACATTCCATACGAAAATACCTAAATACAAATAGCTAGTACTCTTATCTCCACACATCAAACCGAAGTCATGATCATTCTGATAATTGAATTGGTTTGATAACATGACGTGTAAGATTAATTAAACAATTAGCATCCTTGATAGGATGGCCTAACCTTGGGGACTAACTGATAGACAATAATTATTTTAGCACACTGTCCCAGCGATTAATAGAGGACGAGAAAAAATATTGGAGTTACCCAAACTTCCACGTCATGTCACATTCTCCAAATACCTCTAAAAAATATATATATACATATGAGCTCAATACATTATTTATCATAAAATAAAAGAATAATTGTGCAACTATACATGCACTAGCAAAAGTATATCATTTTGCAGTCAAATCACTCAAGCACTCACTCTCGGTGGAGTCACACCCCAGTCCAAATCAAAATACATGTGAGATCATCGTAAATTAATTAGTTATTTAATATAAAGTAATCTAAGCCATTTTCCATGTGATACCTTGTAGGATGGTGTAAATTATTATTGACTAATCATAGCCATTAATTAATCTAAGATATTACTAAGGTTGTCCATGATTTTAATCTCTACATACAGTTAAAACCATAAGTAAATCTTGAGGCAAGATCTAACATGAATGAAATGCAGCACATAAAATATTTAGAATTCCTACGGCCTAACTAAAAGCAAAAAACTGTAAAAGTTCTCGATATTATGTTAATTAATCCCAATAATTTACAATTTATTAGCATTTTCTAAGCATCTGGTATAGAATTTTACTCATGAATATAATGAATAAGATTTTAACTTTGAACCCCATTTTTGGCCAAACGTATATGCTTGAGTTGACCCCATATGAAGAATCGAACCCTATTGCGGCATCAATCTATAAGGGGCTTAACAAGAGATTTTTTTTTATGTAATCCTTAGTAAGCAGTTGATGTGATAATTCACTGCTATCGTTGCCTTATTCAACCAATCCGGTTAAGTCTAAGCCTTGTATCAGATTTTTGGACAATAAAATAGTATTAGCTAGCATTCGATGTCTATGATTGATTGATACCTTTGACAACAGGCCTTAGCCGCATGGATGAAGCCACATATATATTTTCATCATACGGACAATATCCATCATATTTTACTAGAAAGCTCACATAATGTGCCATTTTAAAGGTAATGCAAGTTTAGACTATCAAGATATAATTTTGTTAACCTTTTTATCACGTATTCTTCCCAAAGTCGTCCCCCTTCTTTACATAGGATGCTCGCGTCTAAAGCACCTCCTACACTCTCATATACTTACAACTTCAATTGATTAATCATCATAGTGCATGCGACCAACACCACCACTGGAGGAAGCCACCTATAGCTAACAGTTTGTCCTAGTATGTAAGAATCAGACTTACGTAGACAGGGAAGTCCTTAGATTTGTTGGCCATGTTGGAGGTACAAAAATCGAGGTCAATAGACATCATAGACTTGGCTCAACCTAAAAACAATCAACACTTTTGAAGGGTCCAAGTTGTAGTTGGATTTGTTGAGTTGGATGCTGATATGGTAGCCCATTTGATTTTGTTGCATTTGGTTTATTTGGATGGTATTTGGCCCATTTAAGTAGAGTGAACTTTGGCCCATGTCTAACTTAATGCTATATACCAATTCATTCTTCCAAGCGGTGACTGCGTGTATGTGTGCGCTATGGAGAGAGGAGTGAAGAGGGCAACCCGATTTTGGGGTGATTTCTAGAGAGATTCAACTATTGTTGCTTCATCCTTTCTTCTATATTGTAGTCACCACCACCGTCATCCTTTGTGGGTGAGAAAACTTGAGGCAACCAAAGTGATTGAAGGGTGTGAATCGAGCCCGGGTCAGGTGGTGTTCGTTTGATGTTCTTATTTTTTGAAATCAAGATTTCTCGAAACTTCTGCAGCACTCTTGAATGGGTATGCGAAGAAATATCATATATCACAATAAGTCATTATATATTTGGAGCATAAAATAAAGAGGTGAGAGCGTGGGACAAAAAGTAAACAAGCGAGAATACTTTTCCCGGCAAAATCTAAGGCTTCTTCTTCTAGTAGGCCCTACCAAAGATTTTCTAGCATCTATTTTTCTCTATATAAGACTCTTCTCCTTTCCCTCAGCCTTCCCTTCACAAGTGTTACTTCTTGCTTCTTGTCCTTTGCACTACCTTTTTTACATATATGTGTGTCAGTTGAATATGGTATATTTTATGTATAAATCCGCACAAGTGAGCATTGATTAAGGTTTGGCACATATATTTTTATATATGAAGATTGAATATATATAATATTATACAGTAGATTGAGCATATATACATATATAGTATGAAGGAGAACGGTAGAAAACAAGGTGCAGCTTCACCATGTGCAGCATGCAAGTTACTGAGAAGAAGATGTGCCCAGGATTGTGTATTTGCTCCTTATTTTCCTGCTGATGAGCCTCAAAAGTTTGCCAGTGTGCATAAGGTCTTTGGTGCTAGCAATGTCAACAAGATGTTGCAGGTACCCCTCTCTCTCTCTCTCTCTCTCTCTCTCTCTCTCTCTAGACACAGTCTGAATCTGCCCTAGAACAATTCTTCCTTGTCGAGGGAAAATTACATATTACTGATTGCTCGAGTTAGGGATGGAGCTAAGGGGATAAAAAATCTATTTTATAGTGGGCTGATACATTAAAAAAAAAATCCATTAAAAAATGGAATTTTCATTTAAAAAAAAATTGCATTCCAAAATTATTTGGGTTTGAGGGTAGGGTAGGGTAGGTCCGGTCTGCCCCACTCCCTAGGCCCTTGGCTCGAGTTATTCCACCTAACATGATTGACACTAAAGCCATGTTTGGTAGCCTTCATTTTCCATGAAAAATGAAAATATCACCTAATTTGTGTTGTTTGAATGCTACAAATTTTCATGAAACTTGTTTTCCAACTTTCCTCCACTTGTGTGTCAATTCTATGGTTTTGTATTTTCAGCCACTTTTTTTTTTTTTTTTTTGGACATTTGAAACAAATTTTATCCCTAATTGTAACAAATTTTGTCATTTTAGTTGACAATTTTCATGCAAAATAAAATCAAGTGACCATCAAAAGATAAAAAATTTCAACATTTTTCAGGTAAAAAATTGTATTAATCAAACACATTTAATTATCAATTCCCAATAAAATAAGTTCTAGACAATTCAATTTCTTAAAATTCGTTTTCTTTCCACCCAAATTTCATCCTTATAATCAAACAGACCCTAATATATTTTCCATTTAAAGGCTATATTGGTTATGATTTTTTATCTCAAAAATTAAATTTTTGACCGTTACTTTTCAAAGTTAGCCGTCATTTTTTACTTCTTCTCTCATAAATGAGACTCACTTTTCTCTCTAACGATCAACAAATCAATTCTTATAATCATTACCGAACAAGCCCATAATGAGTAATCCTATATTTGTAGACTCTTGATGATTGATAATCTAGGTGGCATTAATTGATATTCTATTTCGAGACTCATGTCCCTATATTTTAAATGACATATCAATTAATGTTATTTCGTACCTATTTGATTTTGTTAAAATACAATTTTTTAATAAATTTTGATAAAAATTGATGAAATATGTGTTTAAAAAATTGATAAAAATTGTGATCTATATTGTTGAAATTAATTATTAACTTTAACTTAAATTTTTATCAATTTTTCAAGATAACAAAACAAAAACTTAAATTCACCTAGATGGGTGATCATCAACATATATAGCATTATTCATAAATAATGCACCTTAGGTTTTTGGTTCGATACAATAATACACTGTGTGTACTGTCATAGTAGTGTTGTGATTAGACCCTTTTAATCAGTAGATATATTTGTTCTAGAGAAACAAAAAAATTAAGAAACTATCAAGGAATTCCAAATTTAAGCAGAAAGCTATTGGTTTAGAAAGCAAAGTGGGGCCAAACAGGGACATAGTTTAATTGCACTGGTTGAGTGAAGAAAAGTATACCATTATAGGTTTATGAAATTTGTTTTTACTCTTATATCATTCCAATTTCTTAGAAGTACGAATTAATATTTAAGAGATAATATATACTTTGTATTATGGCTGCAATAATCCAAGACCCCACTAGTACAACTTTAGGTGGCGATAATTCCCACTAATTATTAAAAGATCACATCATTATCAAGAATTAGACAGTACAGTACTATTGCTCAAGACTTTTTGTCATTTCATATCACACCTTACGTTTTTTCCCTTAAGTTACACTTGATTTTCTTCTTTAGTTACTGTATCGAAGTGAAACAGGTTATTGACTCTTTCATGATTTGAGAATCAATTGGTTTTGGAAACTTTAAGTTTTATCAAATGATAAATTCTAACGTCGTTATTTGTAGAAAGTTATGTAACTCTAAAGCATAATTAGTACGAGGCAATAAAGAGAGGAGTGAACATGTCAATTAACAAATTTGTCTCACATCTCTTTATTTAATCATGTTCCACATTATGAAGCTTTTGTATCAAACGTACCGTAGAAAATTAATATCATTAACCTTTGTTAGCCCACCTGATATCTTTTAGAGGACACAATTTCATGCTCTCCTTTTGCTACATGGGCAAATTATCTTAAGCTTTTGGTCAAAAGATTCTTCTGTGTTTGGTAAAAAAAGGCTATGCTCATTGACCACTATTAATTTAAGCCAACTTTTCTGCTTATAAGAGAGTGAGTTCACACTGATAAAGTAAAAAATCCCATGTTTAAAAAAAATGTTGAACCCTAACTTTGAGGGTGCCCACCGTCCCGCCCGTCTTACCCAGCCCCTAGAGCTTTGTGAGGAAGGTAAATCGCGGGATGTGTCCCAACAGGTCAAGGAACAAGAGTTGCATGTACACTGTGCTTACAAGGAGTCCAATTCCATGTTTCAGGAATCGAACCCCCACACTGCGACTTGCAGCAAGACAAAAAAATAATAATAATAAAAAATCCCATGTTTGAATGCATGTAAACATGTAGTCAATAGATTTTTATTTATTTATTTTTTTTTTGTGTTTAAAATATAAGTGAAGTTTGAATTTTATGCATAACCATGATATCACTATATCAAAAAATTCAAGATGTGGGAGCTATATAGATCTTGAAAAGCCCATATGGGGCTTCAATCTTCTCTCACTTGCAGAAGATTAGTCTAATTCTACCATATCTTTTTTCGAATTAATTTATGTCATCATATCTTGTTGTGTTATGATATGTTGAGCAAGGTTGAACTGAATGAGATTAAAGAAAAAAATTAGCTTACGTTTTGACAATTTTATAAATTATTTATGAATAAGAACGGTAAGAGGAACACAATAGTGGGTCCCATGAAATTTTTGGATATGTGAATAAAATCAATGTTTGATTTTTGATTGAGAACATGTTTGGTAGAGATTTTAATCTAATTAACATTAATTTTTTGATCGTTATTTATTTATTCCAGCCGTCATTTTTGAATTCTTTTCTCATAGGTAGGTCCACTTTATCTCTAACGATCAAAAAATCAATTAACAAAATCTCTACCAAACAAGCACTGAATTTATAAATTGGTTGTCAACTGGAACTAAAATATTACTTGTTGTACTGTACAGGATTTGCCTGAGCATCAACGCGGTGATGCAGTGAGTTCCATGGTTTACGAAGCAAATGCCAGAGTTCGAGATCCAGTATATGGTTGTGTGGGAGCAATATCATCTTTACAACAACAAATTGACACCCTACAAGCTCAATTGGCACTAGCACAGGCTGAAGTGGTACATCTACGAATGCGCCAGTATTCATCGATCCCTGGCACTGCCTCTAATTCACCGGAAAATGCCTTGCCGCCATCCAATCATTCGCACTCTCAGTCGACGAAGTCCCTTTTTAACATGGACATGGAGGTAGATCATACCAATATGGAAGAGTCCTTGTGGTCATGCTAGTTTAGCATGCCTGCCTAGTCTTTTCTAATACTGCTATTATGGTCTCTTCTTTATTGTCTGCCTTTTTTTTTCTCCTGCTTTTTCTAATACACATCTTTATACCACATATATCCCCCCACTTGACCCAGATGTGATGATGATTGATGACCATCATTAACCATATTGTAAATATAATTATTAGTTATAATTATTGAAGTAATGTAATATGAAGAAGTGGATTATTTTGCTTAATTTGCTTTCTTTCTCTTGATATTTGGCCTCGCTATGGTATCAGAATGATTTTTTTTCGTAATAGTCAGCACAAAATGCTACTATTCTCTTACGGCGATCCATTATTTTCATCGTAAGATAGGCATTTCATCTCCACAGATGGTAAAATTCTAATGTACTTGAAATTTTAGGCAATTTTAATACCACTAATTCATGTATCTTTCACAAATCAATGTCAACTTGTAAAGCTAAAGAGGATTAATGGATTAGTTTCCAGCTTGGCTCATTGCTTAGGAGCCGAGTTCGACTTGGCTCACGAGCTCGCCATATATATATATTTTCTTCTTTTTCTTTTTTTAAACCTTCCTCATTTTTTCTGGGCTTGGGATTGGCTAGTAGGTGGAATTAACATTATACAATAACAACTTGTTAAGTGTACAATTTTTTTTAAAAATGTAATATTATTAAGAGAATAACAAAGTATGAATACAAAAAATTAAATATCATTTATTTGACTACACGTAATTTCAACATACTTATTTTGGACTAAAAAATGAGCATCTTTCCATTTTTTTACGCGCATTAATATTTTTAGAATGTCTTCTTTGAGTCAGTTCTTGGCCTTACATAGAGTTCATTTACCAGCATTAAAAGTAGATTTCGAAATTACAGTGCTAACTAAGTGTTAATAGATCTTTTGCAATAACAGAAACAACAGAATATCTTCATTCCTTACATCGCCAAAAATCAAGTAAATTAATTTCTATCGCATTCCTAAGCATTTGATGATTAAAATACCTATGGAATTCAACAAGTAGCCTAGTTAGACTTGCGTCCGATGTCTGGTTATATGCATAAGACGTCCTAAAAGAACCTACATTAAATCTCCCTAAAGCCTTGGTTTAGACTTACGCACATTAATACTCTATGATATCTGAACGAATAGTGTTTTTACTTATTTCAACGTACCTTGGTTAAATATATTCTTTCACGAATTGTGTAAAATGTTCGTTGTCCACCGTGTTTAGTCGCATCACAGCACCAACAACGAACTTTACCATTGCTTCACAAGTATTTTCCTTCGAATACATCAATGTGCTAAGTTGAAGAACTGGTAGTACGAAATTGAAGTTGTGTTTGAATTCCACCAACAGACCTACGACTGGCTGAAAAATTGAGGTAATGACGATTGAGATTGGTAGTGCTGATACCATTCTATCACTACAATTATGTTTGGCAAATTTACACACTACTTTATACTCTTGAACCCCATCGACTGTACGATCCTCTGAAATCAATTTAAAGTGTTCCCAACACACTGTAGATTTTTTTACCTTTTCTATTCTTTCTTGCATCGGGAATTTCTAGTTCCAATTCCTCAACTTCTTTATCAATGTGATCCAAATCAATTGATTTACTACATCGTCGACGCTCAAATTTGACAAATGATGAGAATGGAAATGTCATTAAGATCAAAAAATTCATCGCGAAATTGAGATTGTGGCGTCATAGATGAGTAGCTACCGAACAAACCGTCAACAAATGATTAGGATCCGTTTGTATGTAATAGAATATAAATGTATAAAGATAAAATTGAATTATATGTATAAAGATAAAATTGAATTATAGTAAAGAATGTAAATTGAAAGAAAATGAAATGTATGAAGATGTAATGTATAAATTGAATAATGTATAAAGAAGAGAAGAGAAGAGAAATGAAATTTGAATTGTATAAAGATTGTAGAATGTATAAAATAAATTGAGATTTGAATTGATTGTAAAGAGAATGCAGAAGAAAGAGTATAGTTTGTGTGAAAAATGGATTGAAGTTGTGAAGTACTTGTAGAGTTATAAAAGAATAAAATAAAATTCAGCGATCGCCGTGAACCTTTAAAATTTTGTAATTGTTTCAAAATTTTGTGATTGTCTCAACGATCACAAAACTTTGAATAAAATGACCAAACATTCACTTTTCAAAGATAAGTTTGGTAGCCCACGAGCCGTTTTCCAATCAGTTCGTACTCGGTGTCGTCTCTAAACGAGCTCGAACCGTTCATGGATCGACCTCTGACAAGATGATGAGCTACTCAACTCTTTTGCCATCACTATTTAGCTCTGAGTAGTGAGCTAGTTTAGAAAATGATTTTTTTTTTTGGTATTTTGGTGTCATTTGTACCACTATACATAGTTGTAAAGAGATAAGGATGAGAAATGATCTCCTAAGTACTCCAAACACTAGTGAAATGGCATGTCAATTAATTGGTGAAACTTTGTAAACTATTTTCGCTATATAGTAATAAAGATAAACATTATACACTTAAAGATAAAACAGAAATCTAATGAGGCAGACATTGTCATTTTCTTAAAGTTGTCACCCATTCAATTGTGCCATTTTGTTCCTTAAACGTTTTTGCAATGGAGTTGTTAGGAGTGGACAAAAGAGGATCCGATATCCGATTTTTCGGCCCAGTCCGTATCCAAAATTTTTTGGATACCGAAAATTGGTCCAGGTTTCAGGAATAAATCCGAGAAAATGTTACTTTGGACCAGGTTTTGAGCATATTTTCATAACCAGAGTAGCCCGAAAATCGGTTTTTCAATAATATAAATTTATCATTAATTTTAATTCATTAATAGCACACAAATGCCTATGCGACTCTTACGTTATTCCATGAATGTTAGTTGACAGCTTGTTCTCTGCCTTAATTAAAGTAATATTAATAATATTCATAGTACCAATAAACCTTAACTCTTATCTTGTTGCAACATTCCCTTATCCATATAGGGGTACTTTTCAAATGGGCTATGTTAGCAGGCCATTTTTCCACTTTGACAAAAAGTCATTGACAATTCACCAAAAAGGCATCTTAATGAACAAAAAACAAAAATATCCTTATATTGTTATACAATTACAAAAATATGGTATTGCCTAAAAGACAATAATACCCTTTTAAGTTAAAAAGAATTTCAAACGCTTCTCACTTTCAATTTCAAAACGAAATCGCTTTCTTTATATGTATATTCCAACACTAATAAAAATTATTTCATTTTTCATCTATTTGAATCTTAACATTTCATAAATTTATCAAAGGTTCAACAAAAAAAATATTATTTGTAGCTGTCGGAAGGAATCGGTAAGTATATTGACGTATTTTTAATTTCTTTTTCGTTAAACTAGTGTATTTTTTGAATCTTTAAATCTTATTTCAACGTAGGCAAATAAATTTTTACAATCTTAAACGGATCGATAACTCTTTAAGCAAAAACAAGGAAAAAATTCATCTGCATGTATATTTTCAGACAAAATTTGAAGAACAAAGTGGGCTGAAAAATAGCTGTTGGGGCCAGCTAGAAACTGTCGGTTGAGTATATTTTTCTTTCCCCCTTTTTCCATAATTATAATTTTTAACAAATTATGATTTCCTTATGCAAATATGGGATCATCTGCAGTTCTGGTTTGCTATTTTGGTAAATTTGAAATGAATGAAAATGAACGTTGGTTATGGAAATGGACGAGTGAAAGATATAGTGCTACTGCAATTGTGATAAGATCAAGTACAACATATGCAGGAATGTACCATGAATTACAGAATATACTCAGCGTCCATCCCTCTCAGTACGACATAGAATTAAAATTTCTATTTAGCGAGCATGTGTTCATTTCAATTCAGCCTATAATGGTTATTTTTGAAGCTAAAATGAAGATTTTAATTGAATTAAACAAGAATCGCATGATTTCTATTTGTGTAACTTTAGCAGAGAAGAATAATCCTGAGAGTGAACAAGAAGATTCCGATGGATGGGATTGTAATGTGAACGATTTTTGGGACACGGTAGAGATAGTTCGTGAGGATGATGTGCCTATTCATCAGAAAGTTGTTCCTCACCATGACGTCATTATTATGCACAGAATTCTCTCGACAGTTAGAGATAATGAATGTAAAAATGAATTTATAAATGAGAATTTGATAGCGTTATCCCGTCGGAGACATGAATCGGGAGGAGCTCACAGGTTGGAACGAGTACACGATCCTCTATTTGTTCACATGTAGTTTTTGATGATGATGAATTGTATGTCGAGCAACTATTCGAAACAAAGAAAAATTTGCAGGAAGCTGTTAATCGGATAGCTTTGAGACACAACTTTGAGTTTAAAGTAAAAAAATCAAATAAGCCAATATATACAATTATCTACACTGATGACAGTTGTCATTAGCACTTGCGAGCGACGAAGATAGACACGAATGAGTTCGTCATAGTTCGAAAGTATGCATGGGAACATACCTGTAAAGTTGGTATTTGTCGAAATAATCACGAGCAGGCCAGATCATGGTTCATTGGTCGACAAATAATGCACAAATTTCAGAACTCAAGAACTATCTATAGACCTTCGGACATCATTAACGATATTCATTGAGAGTATGAGGTAGTCATGAGCTATCAGAAGGCCAAGAAATGCGCATTGGAGGACTAATGGGTTCGGTTAAGGATAGTATGCTAAATTGGCCACGTATTGCTATAATATAAGGAGAACTAATCTTGGATCGACATTTTTTATCGAGACGGATAGCGAAAATCACGTCAAATATTTTTTCATGGCCCTTGAACAATACATTTGAGGATTTTGAAATGTTATGCGATCCCTAATTCTAGTCGACGGTACAACCCTTAAAACTATATATGAAAGCAAGTTGATTATTGTAACATGTCAAGATACTAACATCCAAATTTACAATCTTGCATTTGGCATAATCGACGGAGAGAATGACCTATCGACGCGTTGGTTCTTCACGAAGTTGAGGAAAGAAATTGGGAACTCGAGAATCTTGCATTCGTAATTGACCGAGAACGGTTAATAATAAATGATATCGCCAAAGTCTTACCCGAGGCACATCACGACTATTATATGTACCATATACAGGGCAACCTAAAGACAAGTATCGAGGCAATGACATCTTTGCATTGTTTAGAAGAGTTGCAGAGGCTTACAGTTTTGAAAAGTTTGATAAGTTCATGGTCGA